ACACACGAGTTACAAAAACAGTCGGTTATGTCTGTGAAGGTAAACTGCTGGGAAATAAATTGCATGTTTATTTTAGATCTAAATAGTGTTCTGTGCTTGTCTGTGCAGACGAAGGCAGAACAGTTAGTATGTTTTGCTCAAACTTTCACCATGACTTTAGAACTGGTACATCGTTGTCGCTTGCGAAATCAAAATTATGGCGCCATGGGTGGAAATTTACAGATTAAGGGGCGGTAATATTATAATGAGATCCCTTTGCAACGTCACCAGGAGAGCGAAATCAGACGTGCTCGTTTTCTCAGACGCTTGCAGAAAAAGGCTTACCAAAACAAAGTTACTGGGTTAATTTTTTTCACGTTTCCTTGGTTGGTAGATGCACCGGGGACCTGATTATAGCACTTAAAACCTGGAACAGTCAGATTTTCATGATATGTCACCTTTAAGTTCTTTTGGACTGATGCACTGCAACACCCGCTGAGTGGCATTAAACAGCTTGAAAGATCAAAGACAATTTTTTATATAACTCCAACTGGATTCATCTGAAAGAAGAAAGTCATATACACCTAGGATGCCTCGGGGGTGAGTAAAACGCAGCCTAATTTTCATTTTTGGGTGAACTAACCCTTTAAGTTGAAGTACTAAAAATAAATAAAAAAATGTAAAATATATATTTTTAAAAAACCATAACAAAATTACAATGAAACCTGAAAATTTAAAAAAATAAGAGATAATTCAAAATATGAATGAATATTATAATAGTACATAAACAATATTAAAGTTACAAAAAATAGCAGAACAAATACACCTTTCAAAATATACCATGCTTGTTGTCAAAACTGCTACTTGTTGAAGTTTTTGTTACCAGTAAAGTTTTAACACTGGTGAATGTAATTTCAGGTATGTAATATGTTTTTAATTTCAGGTATGTAAACTATTTTTAACATTTGTAACATATTTTTTGATTATTTACTTGATAAGACATGAATTGTCGCACACAATTCAAATGAAAATTCTTTATTTGTATTTCTAAAATGCTAACTGGTGTCTTTTTGATCAATTAAAAACATATGTTCATGTTTCCAAAATTAAGTAAATTAAAATGGCCACAAATTTATTTTTGACTTTGATACATGTTATATTCTATAACTGGAACATTTACAACCCAACTGCAAAGGACCTAAAACATTTTTAAATTATACAAATAGTGCAATTAACTTTAGCAGCCCTGAAATACTAAAATGAAATAAACTGAAACTAAACTCTGGGGAAAAACTAAAACCAAACAAATACTAACAACAATAGAATAAAAACTATTGAAATCCATGCCAAATTGATAAATTGGAGGAAATTGAAAAATACAAATGAACATACAATATATACTGCAGCAAAAGCAAGAGCAGTGTGGTAGAATGCAATCGCAAACACAGCCATTGAGAATGTTTTTGCACACACACATACTCACACACACCTATCAGCATTGATATACAACAGCAGTGCATTAGTACGAGCTCATATGAGCAGAAATGCTTGGAAGTTTGTCCTAACAACAGGAAGCAGCATGTGTTTGCGTGGTTGCCGTGCCACCGCCACATTCCTGTATTAAATCACCATAATAAAAGCCATCCTTGACATGCATGCCAACACGTCACAAACATAACAACTGGCCTGGAAACAGACATCAGTGCTGGACTGACACCAACCAAGGTTTCCATAACAGGCCCCAAAACAGTCCGATGGCATACAGTGTGTCTGGGTTAATGGCTCCCAAGGCAGGCGCTCAAAAGAAAACAGTCAGGCAGAGCTTTATAATGCCTATAAACTTCAAGTTTACCTGGACTTTCCTGTTACAGAGGGTTTACCGAGACAGCCTGGCCCGAATTCCCCTTAAGCCGAGAGGCTGATCTGAAAGTCTTAACTGATCGTACCGAGAGGAAATAGCCCAAAAGCAGAGTCCCAAAGAACCACCCCTAACACAGCGCCTGTCACTGAAGGTTCTATTATATCTGCGATTTTTGAACAAATCAAAATCTACATTATCGACAGGGTCTTGTGCTCCCATATTTAATAACTCTTTCACTATTTCAAAAAGGATAGTTCTGGTCCTGGATTCTGATTGGTCAATAAAGCTAAAAGCTAAAATACTGCTTAATATAAAAATATATTAAATCCATTATTGTTTATGTTTTTGAAAAAAGTATCTTATGCTCACCAAGACTGCATTTATTTGATCCAAAATACAGTAAAAATTTTAATATTGTGGAATATTATTACAATTTAAAATAGCAGTTTTTTTTTAATTATTTGAATAGTTTCAAATGTAATTTGAATGTAACACTTAAATGTGAAACTTACTATTTTTTGTGAAAACTGTGATGCATTTAATTCAGGATTCTTGATTATCTGAAATGCAATCTTTTGAAACAGTATAAATGTTTAATGTTTAATTTAATGCATCTTTCTGACCCCAAACATTTGAGCGATAGTGTATAAAAATGTTTTATATAGATATACAATAGACTTTAATAAATTGCATCAAAAAAAAGTTGATTCTAACCTGGCCAATGAAAAAGTTGCATTAAAATCCAATTTTAAATAATTATTCTTCGTATTGAAAACTTCATCATCAGAATTTGTTAAACATGACAATTAAGTTTATATCATATTAAATGTTACTTACAGCACAAAACACAAATAAAAATAAAAAGTAGCACTGATTTCTCACTATTCTTCCAACCGTTTTCCTCTCAGTGGAGCACAGAAATGCACAGACAGACATTATAAATGATTGACAAATTAATTGCTGACTCATTCAATCATACGCCAAGTTCACTTTTCTACAAAAAACTCATGCAATGCTAAAAACAAATTTATAGATCTGATCCAAAACCTAGTGAGCTACCTACCTAGACAGCATCATAGGTGCGTTTTCGACATACTGATTGTTCCAAAGCATAATTAGGAATAATTAATATCAAGCATAATTATATATCATAATAAAAGTAATTCAATTCATACCTTTCATTCAACACTGAATAATATTGATAAAGAAATGTTAAACTTAATTAAAAATGTCTTATTTTACCCAATGCTAGTAGACAGCAAGGCAGCTCACCTGGTTTTAGAACAGAGCCTATTAGATAGTATTAAATTCAAGAAGCTAATGAACCATGATCATTTCTCGGAGCAGCAGTTGTATGATGCGCAATTAAATCACCACAAAAGGAAGTGGCAAGTGTGACTCGGGTTTAATTAAAGGGGTCATATGATGCTGCTAAAAAGAACATTATTTTGTGTATTTCAACAGATGAGTACTGAGCGTGTGATGCTGTGTTTCTGACCTGGTCATCATAGCGGTAGGTGAGATACTGCTCTCCTGTTGTGTCTTCCAGAAAGCTTCCTTGTGGAGAAAGTGCAAATTCAGGGAGGAAGTAAGCACTCTGCGTCTGGCTCGCTACTCCCTGTAAAACAAGACCACAACAATCACATTAAACTTATCAAAGTACTGCGGACATCATTTAGGGGCCTGCAGCTAACATTTTTGAGAAAGCATAATGTACTGTAAGTATACAAAAGATGTTATCAAACGTTATCAGTGTTCAACTACTGCACATAAAGATCAAGCTGAAATGTGTGTTAATTGAGGTAGAAAGGTTTACTGAGAATACACAATTAAATTATTCTGGCTCTAGTTGATAATAGATAAAGACTGTCAATGACCTTTTGAATGTTAACTAGGTTACTTCACTGGACACGTATGACTTTTTTTCTTCCATTGAACACAATAATAGACATTTTGAAATATTGTGGTAACCAACCGGTTTCTGTTTCTGTATGGACAAAAAAAAAATACAATAGAAGTCAATGTGAACCAAAACTGTTTGTTTACCAACACTCTTCAAAACATCTTCATGTTACACAGAAAAAAAAAACAAGTCATACAGGTTTGGAATGATATGAGGGTGAGTAAATTATGACAATTTTAATTTGAACTATCTCTTCATGCATTAATATGACCTAATTAATATTCATGAGCTAAGCCTATTTGTACATTTTGTTCCAAATTTCCATATATATATATACTAAAAAAATAGTGGGAAAAAAATTTCACTCATAAACTGCTAGTAAATTTCACAAACAATTAGAAAGAAACAGTAAGTAACACATTACATTAAATATTATTTTAAAGTAGCTAGACAAATTTTGAAGTAGAAAGACATAAGTAGTATTTTCTCTTATACATACTCCAATGCTCTTTGTTTTATTTAGAACTTCAAATAAAATTCAGTGTATAAAATGCATTTTATATATATCAGCCACTCTTTCTATCAGCCACTCACAAAATAAACTCAGAAAACTCATATAGACTGACATAAAATAACCATCCTGACTCATAAAATGAACCTCGAAACCTGCCAGCTGCTATCTATCTCTGACATCCCCAAAACTGATAGGAGATAAAAGACTACAGCATGGACAAATAAAAGAAAATTTAACTGTTAGTGTGTCAAAAGTTCATTGTGAGACAGTAAGAAGCCCACAGAAGAGAAAGCAGCTCTGGTTTGTTAGAGCTGAAATTCACATCGCCTTAGAGGTTTATTGAGGAAGATTAGCTGCAGCACATGAACCAAATCCTGAATCGTTCAGACCAATTTGAAGTAGGCTACCATGTGTTTACCGTGCTAATGCTAGGCCGACGGCTTTCTCAGAATGGCCTGGTGACACACTTATAAACAATTTATGGAAGTTAAGGAGGTTATAAAATCACAGCGAGCTCCTGAAAAGCTTTTTTCCCTTCCTGCTCATTAAAAGGGGAACTATTTACAAGTGCTTGAAGCTTCAAAACAAAATGTACCAGGTATCAAAAGTGAATCTAATTTTGTACCTGAGCCCAGGGAGTGTCTGCTAGGGAGAGTGTGTGAGGCTGACTACTTCTCCAAGCACTTACGCCCTAAAGAGCAGCAGAGTTTGGCACATGGTCAGAGGAGCCGCTTTCATCAGCGACACAGACTTTCACTGACAAGCCTGAATTACAGTCCTGCTATCCATGTGTGTGTGGAAGGGCTGGACAAAATTCAGACGAATTTTAAGAACTGGCTCCAGATTCAAAGTCACAACACAGAGGAAGTTTATTAGTTCAACATAAGTTTTGCAACCATAAATTATTTAATTAATTTTGAATATTTATGTTTATTTTTTCCTCATATGTAGAATGCAGTAACTGAAAACATATATTTCTGAACTGAACAACACTGTCAAAACAATTTATACACAGCCATCATCTACAGCACCACTATTTTTCCCTCAAACAACTCTATAGAAATAAACATTGACAACAAATTTAAAATGTTTTTAATAAATAATGTTGAGAAAACTAATGAAGTACTGCATTATTTAATATCTATCTATCTCTCTATCTATCTATCTATCTATATACATATAAAATAATAAAATTTGAGTTTTATTATCACGTTTGCACTACTGTGAGCAGTGGTGGCTCGTCGGGGGAGGCAGGGGAGGCCCAGCTTCCCCAAAATTTTGAGGTGAAAGAAA